TTGGATCTTGGTCCTTAGAGGTTTAGTCTAAAGAGACCTTTTTTATTTAAAAAAAGTATACCTCAGCAAAAAGAAAAGACTTCCTAAACATGTTTTTATTTACTGGATTTTTAAAGTACACCTTAACATTTAATTGCACTTGAAAGTCAGTAGGAAGCCTGGGCAGTTGAAAAGGGATGGGTAAAATATCCCTAGAGCTGATATCATCACTGCATTCTGCACCAGTGTTAGTTTCCGAGAAGTCACTAATTAGAGCAGACTGCAGTAATCCACTTTAGAAATGGCAAAAGGAGGGATTTCTGTATATGACAAAACTTGGCATGTGACTCAAGGAAAGATATTAGGAATTGAGTATTCAGCCAACTGAAAAAGCTAGCTTCTGACAGCTTACGTTTCCCAACCTTAGTCCTCTTCCTCTCTCAGGGTATGTCTACACTACCCGCCGGATCGGCAGGCAGTGATTGATCCAGTGGGGATCGATTTATCGCATCTAATCTAGATGCGATAAGTTGACCCCCGAGCACTCTCCCGTCGACTCCTGTACTCCAGTGCCGCAAGAGGCGCAGGCAGAGTAGACGGGGGAGCAGCAGCAGTCGACTCACCATGGTGAAGACACCACGGTAAGACAATCTAAGTACATCGACTTCAGCTACGTTATTCATGTAGCTGAAGTTGTGTAACTTAGATCGATCCCCTCCCCCCGCCAGTGTAGACCAGGGCTCAGAGAAGATAGCCATTCAGTGATAAAGAGCCAACTTCTCTTAGGATTTGAAAGCAGAACTCCAGTTCAAATTGGTGGAGTTTTATGCACAAAGTGGCAAAAATCAGGTCTTTACATAATAGAAACCTCTTATCTGATGAAGTACTGACACTGGAATACTCCAGAAGGGTGGCTGAATGCACATCCCAATGACTAGAGTTAGGAAGCAGTCAAGCTAGAGAAATCTGTAAGGAATTCTAGGAGCCAAAAGAAAAACTTCCAATTTCTCTTTGATTCTTTCCTTTCCTTGTTATAACAGTTTTAAAAGAAAAATATTTGTTAACTTAAAGAATATTTTATTTTTTTAAAAATTGGAAGCTCTCAAATGGAGCCCAGACATTCTAGAATTCTCAGGGTAACTGGAACTAAAAATAACTGAATCGGTTGTAATTCACACCTTTAGTTATTTTGGTGCAAGTCTGTGTCTGGATACTCTTATTTTCAGAATTAGAGTATCTTATTTTGATATAATTTTAGTCAAATTTTTTTTTTTACCAGTACCCATTTTACAGATGGGTTCTCCCATCACTGTAGTTAATCCACCTTCCAAAGTGGTGGTAGCTAGGTCGATGTAAGACCTAGCGCTGCCTACATCAGGAGTTAGGTCAGCTTAACTACATGGCTCAGGGGTATAGATTTTTCACACTCCTCAATGACTTATCTGGGTCGCCTTAACTTTTCAGTGTAGACAGGGCCTACGTGACTTGCACAAGGTCACACAGGAAATCTGTGACAAAGCAGAGAATTGAAACCAGGTCTCCAGAGTGCCAGACTAGTGCCCTAACCATTGGACAAGCCTTCCTCCCATAAGCATTGATATCAGTAGGATTTAAGCACCTTTTGCTGAACATGGGCCTAAGTGATTAACCCAAGACATTGAAAGGGAAACACCATTAGTGGCAGGATTAGAACTCAGATGTTCCCAGCTCTGAGCCCCTTGCTTCTGGCATTATACCACAGCTCTTGCTTAGATGGGCATTTTTTCACTTAGTAGGGTATATCTTGAGCTCTGTATTTTGGACCTTCCTAGTAGGAGGATTTTAATCTTTACTTACAAAAAATTATGTTAAAAGAACGTTATGAATACAAAGTCAACCACTAACAGTTGAGTTGTGTTACACAAAATGTTTGTGTTTTATAGTGAGCAAACAGATAAGCTGTAAGTTTTAGCAGGGACTGAGGGGCAGCTGCAAACAGCACACGAGGAGGAGACGACGAAACAAGTTGGTTTTGAGAGGGGATTAGAAGGAAGAGAGTGAGGATGCTTAGGATGAAATCCTGGCCTCTTTGAGGTCTAAGGCAAAATTCTCATGACTTCAGTGGGGCCAGGATTTCATTGATGGTGACCAGGAAGAAGAATATTGCTCCAAACATAAGAAACAGCATGAAAGGGGTACTAAAGATGAGAACAGGATGAACAGATAAAGGGAGCGACAGAGAGAGAAGAATGTGCAAGGTGCAGTGGGAAGCAACAGGTGATGGATAGGCTGAGCAGAACTTTAAGAATCATAGAATCATAGAATATCAGGGTTGGAAGGGACCTCAAGAGGTCATCTAGTCCAACCCCCTGCTCAATGAGAATGAGAAGGCGTTTGAATTCTATGTGGAAAAAGAGGAAATGGTAAAGATACCTGGCAGGAGAGTGATACAGCGCTATAATGACTTTGATTGCTTTCATAGTTATTATTGTTGCCCCTTTTTTTACCCAAGCAGCCAGTCAAAGTTCAGGGCCCTAGGTATATTTCTGTTGGATGCAGAAATTGATGGAGTCTGTTACTTTCTTTGATGTAATCTTGTTTACTTACAAAGAATGTACATGTGCTTAAGTCCAGCTTTTCTGAATGCAGAAGGAACCCAGAACAAAGGGAGTTTACAGCAACAAGCCTCTTTAGACAACAGACCCAAAAGCTCGCTCTATAGCTTCTTCCAGGGTCACACTGTGTTCACTGGCTACTGCTTGGCTTTCTTGGTTTTTGCCTCTGCCTCTCTCTGTTCTGTCTGTTCTCAGTTTCTGTGTGTTCCACCTTCCCTCCCTCCCCCAAACCACTATGCCACAAAATGCCTCCACCCCCTCACTCCAAATTCTCCTGGGTGGGTTCACAACCTCTTTTGCTTAGACAGGAGTTTGTGATGGACTTATCCTTATAGTTATGATAACTGAAGGAGACGTTCACACCTGTCAGTCTCAGCGAGGTTTTAATTTGACCTGTAACAAGGTTTCACCCTGCTCATAACATGGTTATTAATTATTTCTATTGTCCCACTGGCACCCAGGAGCCCCAGTCATGGATCAAGACCCCACTGTGCTAGGTACTGTACACACATTGAATAAAAAGATGATCTCTGTCCCAAAGAGTTTATAAGTTATGTACTGATGTTTTCCTGTTCGAGGAAATGGTCCATGTGAGGATTAGAATGCTGCCCCTAACGTTTTCCTGACCCCCACCTCTTCCTGTGTGTATGAGAGAGAGCTTAAACCTCAAAACCAAACACCACATTCATCATTTCTCAAGTAATAAAAGGAAAATGTAAACAAAAATTCAAAATTGTCTATAATTCATTTTTCCTTTCAGTTCAGAGGAACTGAAAACAGATGGAACTCTAAATATAAAGATTTCTTCTGCAACGAGAAATCATGAAAACTATGTCTTAAGTATTTTATTTATCAAAATGGATTAAAACAATGATCCAAGATCTAATGTTGTATCAGAAAAATAATGGAGAAAACTAAAGAGAATTTTGCCCGTTTCCTTGTGGGGCTGGGAAGGAGTTTTTCCCTCACAACCAGATTGGACAAGATGGGGTGGCGTTTTTCGCCTTCTCCACAGCAAGTCTGGGAGTACAGACATCATTACCTAATGTTGCAACACACTATGTAAAACTTGTGGCGGATGTCCTGTGCAGCCACACGGTATGGAAGAGATATGATTATCAGATCAAATGAACTGGAAAAGGATTTAAAGGAAAGCATCCCTTATGGGAGCTGAATAGAGGACTGAGATGGAAATAGGAGACAGACTTGTTGAAAGTCTCTGGGTAAGGATAAAAGGGGTAAAAAACAAGGGTGATGTCATGGTAGGGGTCTACTACAGACCACCTAACCAAGAAGAAGAGGTAGATGAGGCTTTTTTTAAACCGCTAACAAAATCATCCAAAGCACAGGACTTGGTGGTGATGGGGGACTTCAACTACCCAGACATTTGTTGGGAAAATAACACAGCAGGGCACAGATTATCCAATAAATTCTTGGAATGTACTGGAGACAATTTTTTATTTCAGAAGGTGGAGACAGCTACCAGTGGAGAGGCTGTTCTAGATTTGATTTTGAAAAATAGGGAGAAACTGGTTGAGAATTTGAAAGTGGAAGGCAGCTTGCGTGAAAGTGATCATGAAATGATAGAGTTCATGATTCTAAGGAATGGTAGAAGGGAGATCAGCAAAATAAAGACAATGGATTTCAAGAAAGCAGACATTAGCAAACTCGGGGAGTTGGTAGGTAAGATCCCATGGGAAGCACATCTAAGGAGAAAAACAATAGAAGACAGTTGGCAGTTTTTCAAAGAGACATTATTAAGGGCATAAGAGCAAACAATTCCGACTGCATAGGAAAGATAGGAAGTATGGCAAGAGACCACCCTGGCTTAACCAGGAGATCTTCAATTATCTAAAAATCAAAAAAGAGTCCTATGGAAAAGTGGAAACTAGGTCAAATTACAAAGGTTGAATATAAACAAATAACACAAGCATGCACAGGCAACCTTAAATCTGGCATTTCCTAAATTTTGAGTACTTAACCTTTGAACCTTAATAATGTTCTTCTAATGTAGTTTTTTGTGTTTAATAGAATTAAAGTCAATGTACTAGATTGTTCATGTGAATCTTTAAAAGAAAAATTTAAAAGAAGTTTGAGACAACAGAAGCACAATGAGCAAAATTAAAATGAAACTAAAAAAATAAGAGTTAAAGAATTTCTATGGTCCCAAATTCTCCTATCATTCTATACAACCAAATCTAATTAAAATCAGCAGGAATATGGATTATGGAGAAAGAGTGAATCTTAAAACTGGATCAAAACAAGAAATTCCTCAGTGAAATCTCTTTATCTTATAGGAAAAAAACATTTTGATGGTTCAATTGCATAGCCCTATAGTTTGCAAATGCAAAAGAATTGTGATTGAATATTGGTGAGATGATCTAAACGTTAAAAATAAATTGACCATCTTTAAAATCTGTTTCTTACCTGCCATCAATGAGTACTTCAGCCTGTCGATTGTTCACCTGGTTATCACTCTTATGGCGAAACTGCAGTATTAAGGACATAAAAATACTAGTTAGTTTTTTGTTATCAAAAGTGAACATAAGGACCTGATCAAACAAGGAACTTAAGCATACAGATAACTTTAAGCAAGTAAGCAGTCTCTGTGCGTGAAATCCATTGACTTCAATGGGACCAGAATGTCACACATTGATTTTACATAATTTTCATGACGCTTTAATAAACTCTTTAGTGTTTACCAATTCATTTTTAAAAACAAAGTATTCATTTGCCCCACAATAACTTAATTAACATATGCAATATTCTGTGCATTTAATATAAAAATTAGCAAGCCATTGCCTATAAAAGTATTTATTGACTGTTGCTAACTAAATAATTATACATTAAATCATAGATATTAGAGTTCGAAAATTGCTCTGCTAGTCCATAACATTGCCAATGAAAAACAAGTTTTCTACTGCTTTGTCCAGTCCAGTTTTATGTGCCTAAAGAAAGGGCTTTCTCTGCCTTTCTTTAGTAAACTATCCCATAGCCTAAAAGAGACACTTTCACTGGAAGAACTTTTTATAAATAACTTTTCCTTTATATTCCACACAAAAAATCTTCTCTTATTTTCATGTCAGTATTCCAAATTATGCCACCCTGATACCATTCTAAATCATTCCTCTTCATTCTTGGTCTCCTTACAAATATTTATGAATTATTATGTACCATTCCCACTTAATAGTTGCTTAACTAGTTTTACATATTTAGCTCATATAATCTTTCTTCATAAATCTATCCATTTAGCCTCCGCTATTTTTGTTGCTCTTTTCCCAACTCTCTGAAATTTATCTACATCTTTCCAAGAGTGACCAGACACTGAGAGCAGTCTTTCTGTTGCACTGTCACAAGACCCACTAGAAAAGTACTATCATGTCCTAACACTATGATCCCTAGCCCAAAATTGCTTTGGTCCTTTTTTTCCCATATTTTATTTTAAACTCATAGCTAATACCATGTCCACTCCTCCTCTTTCTATAAGTCCTTTTCAGAATTAATATTTTCAAGGTATCTCCTTCCCCACTGAACATAGGTATTTTGGATAATTTTTCCCTATGTATTGTAGTTTGCAATTTTCCCCAAATTGGATTTCATTTTTTGTTTTTTCCTATTTTTTTTCCTAGCCTCTCAGTTTTTTTTGTATTATTTGTTAGCAACTCCTTCCAGTTTAGTATCAAACTGCATTTGAATTCATTAATATGCATTTTTAGTTCACTTCACGTTGACTGATGGCAATGTTCAGTAAGACTAAATCTAACCCCAGTCCCATGGAAATCCATCTAAATATCTCCATCACCTCAATACATTGCTGGTTATCCTTAGTGAACTGTTTGCAGTCCTTCAGCCAGTTTTCAGCCCTTGTAAAAATCCAAAAAATCCACACAAATTTAATCTGATGTATTTCCCTCATCCACATTAATTACTGCACTATGTCCCCAATTCAGCAACTTACTTAAACTCATGTCTAACATTAAGCACAAGAAGCCCATTTAAAAAAACGGTTACCTACCTTTTCATAACTATTGTTCTTCGAGATGTGTTGCTCATGTACATTCCATTCTAGGGTGTGTGCGTGCCCATGTGCACAGTCATTGGAGATTTTTGCTTTAGCGGTATCCGTAGGGCTGGCAGTGGCGCCCCCTTAAGTGCCGTGCTCATGCGTCGGTATATCAGGCACCGCCAGCCCTACGCCCTCTCAGTTCCTTCTTGCCGGCAACTCCAACAGAGGGGCAGGAGGGTGGGTAATGGAATGGACATGAGCAACACATCTTGAAGAACAACAGTTATGAAAAAGTAGGTAACCGTTTTTTCTTCTTTAAGAGCTTGCTCATGTCGATTCAATTCTAGGTTACTCACAAGCAATGTCAATGGAGGTGGTCTCAGCATTCATGTTCTTACAGTGTGCAGCACTGCTCTGCCAAAGCCAGCATCGTCCTGGGCCTGCTGGGTAAGTGCATAATGGGACGTAAACATGTGGACAGACGACCAGATAGCAGCTCTACAGATCTCTTGGATCAGCACCTGAACCAGGAAGGCCGCTGATGACGTTTGCGCTCTAGTTGAGTGTGCCTTGACTATTGCCGGTGGAGGCACTTTGGCCGGCTCATAACAGTAGCGGATGCAGGTCGTGATCCAGAACGAAATCCTTTGAGCAGATACTGGATGACCTTTCATTCTGTCTGCCACCGCAATGAACAGCTACGTTGACTTGCGAAATGGCTTTGTCCTTTGTCGATGTAGAATGCCAGAGCCCTGCTGACATCCAGGGTGTGCAACCTTCTCCCTCTTCCAATTTATGAGGCTTTGGGAAGAAGACAGATAAGTGTATGTCCTGGCCAGTATGAAACTGGGAAACTACCTCAGGCAGGAATGTTGGGTGTGGCCACAGCTGGACCTTATCCTTGCAGAATACCATATAGGGTGGTTCTGAAGTAAGTGCCCTGATCTCAGACACCCTGCAGGAAGACGTTACTGCAACCAGGAACGAAACCTTCCAGGAGAGAAGGAGACGGGAGCAGGAAGCCAGAGGTTCAAAGGGAGGCCCCCTGAGCCTCGACAGCACGAGCTTCAAGTCACAGGAAGGGATGGGGTCCCAGACATGACGGTAGAGATGCTCCAGCCCTTTCAAAAACTGGGCTGTCATGTTGTGAGCCTAGACCGACCTGCCTTGGAACGGAGGCTGGAAAGCTGCAATAGTGGCCAGGTGGACCCTGATCAATGACAGGGACAAGCCCTAGATCTTGAGATGCAGAAGATAATCCAGGATAACCTGCAGTGAGGCCTGCGAGGCCCAGATACGTTGTTCTGAGCCCAGCACATGAACCTTTTCCACTTAGCCAGGTAAGTTGCCCTGGTGGAGGGCTTTCTGCTACCCAATAAGACCTATCAAACCCAGGCCGAGCATTCCTGCTCCTCCGCATTCAGCCATGCAGTAGCCATGCTGTCAGGTGCAACGCCACTAGGTTCGGGTGCAGAAGACTGCTGGGGTTCTGGGATAGTGGGTCTGGCCACAGAGGCAGTCGCAGTGGGGTGGCTACTGAAAGGTCCAGCAGTGTGCCAAACCAGTGTTGGTGAAGCCACTTGGGGGCTATCAGGATAACCTTCACCCTGTCCTGTTTGATCTTCATGAGGACTCTTTGGATCACCAGCACTGGCAAGAAGGCATACATCAGGATCCCCGACCACGGGAGCAGGAAAGCGTCTGATAGGGAACCACTGTCCATCCCCCGGAGTGAACAGAACACATGGCATTTCCTGTTCTGACGGGACATGAACAAGTCCACCTTGGGAGTTCCCCACTTCCGGAAGATAATACTGACCACCTCTGGATGGAGCGACCACTCATGGCAAGATGAGAAGGTCCTGCTGAGATGATCTGCCAAGACGTTCATGATTCCAGGCAGGTGTGCGGCTATCAGATGAATGGCATGCCGCACACAAAAATCCCAAAGGTGGAGAGCTTCCTGTCAAAGGGCTGAAGACCTGGTACCACCCTGCCTACTGATGTAATACATCTTGGCGGTATTGTCCAGAAAGACCCGCACCACCTTGCCCTTTAGGTGGGGCAAGAAAACCTGGCAGCCAGATGAACCACTCTGAGCTCCCTGACGTTGATGTGGAGGGCCAGATCATCCCGCAACCAGTGTCCCTGGGTGCTCAGCTCGTCCAGGTGAGCTCCTCAGCCCAGGTCCAAAGCATCGGAGCTTATAGCAGCTCCCATTGGCCTGGAGCAGCAAACCGCGGCCAGTGAGAGCCGCAATCGGCCGGACCTGCGGACGCAGCAAGTAAACAAACCAGCCAGGCCCACCAGGGGCTTTCCCTACACAAGCGGCATTGCAAGTTTGGGAAACACTGCTCTAGGGGATCCGTGTTGAGATGGTGGGGACCGCAATCTCAGTGCCAGTGACCAAGGGCAGGGTCCAGAGGATCTGGGCTGCGACTCCGGCAATCTGCAGTGCACAGGTAGAGAGTGCTATCTTGTCTCAGGGGATTAGTGGTGCTCCACTGCCCTCTGAGGGATCTTAGCAGCTGGCTTGCCCTCATGGGGAGCCTTTATTGTTTCCTGCAGCACGTGCTGTGTCTGTGGCACAGGCAGAGGCCTCTGCTATCTTGGTGCCATGAGAGCTTGTGACTTCAGTGTCGTCAGGGGTTTGGGTCCCATACCACTCCTGGGAGTTGGTGGTGGACCTTTTAAGGAGCTAAGAGTCCCGACCGGGGAGGCACAGATGCATAGCTCCAGAGTGGCCGGGCAGCCCGAACTGGGTCCCTTCCCATGGCCCTTCTTGCCTGGTGCTGGGGAGCCGTGCTTCCTTGCTTTCTTCTTGGGCACCAGCAATGGGAAGCGTGCCAGACAGAGCCCGGTGCCAGGGGCACACTGTGCACTGAGGCCAAGGTACTCGGTGAGTCTTGGCAGGATGGCTTGGAAGCTGGATGAAGGACAGACTCCATGAGGAGAGCCCACAAACGAATATCCCACTCCCTCTGAGTCCTGGGCCGAAAGTTCTTACAAATACAGCACTTGTCCTTCACATGTGATTCCCCCAAGCACTTCAGGCAGCTGCTGTGGTGGTCACTTACAGGCATAGGCCTGTTTCAGTCTACGCAGGGTTTAAACCCGGGAGACCCGGGCATGCCCCGCCTGGGGCAAAGTCCCTACTGGGATTCCAACTTCTAACTACACTTAACTACTTAACACTAACTACTATAAACAAACTATTTACAAGGTCCTAAAGCTCGAGTCAGTAGAGATGAAACCGCTAGCCCTTGCTATGTAAGGAAAGGCACTCTGACTAACCACCACGGGTTGCAAGAAGGAACTGAGAGGGTGTAGAGCTGGAGGCGCCTGATATACCGATGCATGGGCACGGCCCTCAAAGGGGCGCCATCACCGGGCCTACGGATACCGCTAAGGCAAAAATCTCTGATGATCATGCACATGGGCGCATGCACACCCTAGAATAGAATGGACATAAGCAAGCATTTG